GATAATTTCGAATAAGATTATGGACGCGGTGCTCGTCACAAGCGAAGAAAAAGGTCGCGATAGCGGCGGCCTGCGGGGCGCGTCTTGCGGATTTTCGTGAAGGACGAAGCGAGCGCAGAGCGCGGGCGGAGCGAGTGGCAGCAGGCGGGCAACCCGAGCCAGAGGAATGCGATGCGCATGCTCGCAGCCTCGGACCTTTGCCCGCGCGGCACCCGTGCGAGGGCGAGAAGACACGCGTCGCAGGCCACTTGACGACGCGGGCCAGCCTAATGCGCGGCGGGTTCGTGTGGACTCATTAGCATAGCGGCTCACCATGTGACTGCGCGTTGCGTTTTTGGTGACGCTTCGGAAGCTCAGAGGGCAGTGAGGTTGCATTTTGTTTTCAATTTTCGCCGGATCCGATGACTCTTTGCAACAACTGTTATCACTGCTGTGACTAATGAGAAGTGATAGGATTATAGACCCGACGGTGGCGGATTTTAGGCACTAGATGGCTACTTCGTCGCATTCAGCCACTGTCTGGAGTAGAAATCTAGCAACGGCTTCTCCATTCAGTTCTTTTTCTCCTATTAATATTGGCGAATGCCGAAATAGAATCCTAATGCACGGGACACGGACTGAGCGCGAACTTTCTTTCCTCTTGTTGTCACATTCCCTCACATTACTCACATTTACTCGTACATACAGTACGCTACCTTCATATCAGAAGACTAGTGAAGAGCTTAGTGCCTCTCTCGGCTGGGGCGGTGCCCCGTTGGTAGATATACGGGGAAGAGGGGAAATCCTACAAGCCAATACGGGTAAGACGTCGCTCGGTCTCACGTTCCACCACCAAGAAACACTGCTGCCTCCCAGGTGTAACATGCATTACACTCAGGCGCCTAGTGATCAAAGTAGTTGACACACCCAGAAATACTACTCACTCAATAACTAAATTAAGCAGTCAAAACAACACCCATGTTTACAAGCAAATACTTTTAAACTCCTTTCCTGTAAAATTAGATAATATATGATATCGTACACTGTACCTCCAAGGTAAAATTTACTACGGTATAATTCTCATATACATTATAATGCATTATACATCTTAATACATTATAATGAATTTGTTGGAGATTTATCTTCGTTTGAAATACATTAATGATTAATTGATTCATTAGTTATTCCGAGTGCGTCAACTGCTAAGGACATCAGTTCCGTAAGTGTTGGACATGCTTTTCTTTTATCGCGGGTGATGGCAGTGATCTGCCCACGCTGGCAAGCGTGATCCGGGGCGAATCTACGTCGGCATGCGAGGATTTTCTCAACCAGGTATCTCCCACCACCGGGGCACTGCCTCAGCCGGGACAAGCTCTAAGCCCCCGACCTGTCTCCCTTTTGGTGCGGTATTGTAATGCACGTGGTATGAGTGTAAGGGCTGAGGATAGGACTGGCAAGGGGAAGGAAATATCACATGCGTTCCATGTTACGGTCCTGCTCCGGCATTCGCCTGGTGTTGATCGGAGAAAACCCGGAAAACGACGAGAGCAGCCAACGGCTAAATTTGTCCTCCATACAGCGGATGAATTCGACGTAGTTGCTGCATAGCTAGTGTCGAAAATCCTGTCACCTTCGGGACTTGAATCTAGGACCTCCCGTTCAGAGTCATTGCAGCGACATTAGTAATGCCCTAAGCCACCTTTGCCGGTAAATGAATTATTATTTTAATTTTACATTAAATTTTGGATTGTAGATCTTATCTTTTCCGTTATTATTAACTTCTAATCTTTGTTCCTCTCTTCCAATCGCTCATTGAATTTGAAATGCATACATGTCCACAAATACAAGACAGCTGAGTCTTAGCAATTACTGTTATAAATAAACAGATCTGAAATGTTATACTTCTTAAGTAAATACCATTGAAAAGTTTTTACATCATAAGAATCATTTCCGTTTTATAAGTTTTTTGCACTTAACAATTATTTTACTTCGGAGCAGGGTTACGGGCAGGTATCTTCGATTAATGAAATTAAAATTTACTCTCAAAATTCGCAGCACAAAGACAAATTTTATCACATCAATGCCGCTCACAATGAATGTATAAATGAATGAATGAATGAATGGGAAGAATGTTAGAATTCCTCATGAGAACCCGCGTTTCTGTTTTGTTCACTAAGAATTCAATCAGAGGAACTGGCATTTTAAGCCTAAGCGTGGAAGAGGAATGCAAGGTCCAAAAAGTTGAAAGAAAGGAATTCGAAATTTTCCCAAACGATCAATGGCAAATGGAATGAAACTATTCAATTTCAAGGCATGTAACGTGACACCGAGGCACTGTTGCCAGTCCTGTTACCCAGAGAATGCAAAAAGTTGCATTTCGAGGAAGGACAGGTGCCTCGTTTGCAGGTCGCTGGTCCTTGTGGAAACGTTGTGAAAAAGGCCAGTTTGTGTGGATGTAACCGATCCAACAATTTTTGTGGCTGCACTCTAACTGTTAACAGCTTCTTTCCGAAGTGCCCTTCATTTTTGGGATCACGATAAAATAATATTTCGCCTTGTCATTGATTCTAACTAGTGCACTGAAAATAACATTTAAAACTAGTGAATAAAAATAGTAGTTTCTAATTACAAAGTGCTTATAGACTGCACCGATATAACTCATTGAGATTTATTGCTTCCGACACAATCCCCAGTGATAATGCTGAAAATTATTTTTTGTAATACTATATTGTTGATAATTATATTGTCTAAACTCAGCCAAACAGATAAACGAAAGTCCGGCCGTATTTAACAGATCGTCGTTCATTAACAATGGAAACAATGAGTTGTAGCTAAAGACGGTAGATGCGAATATTTATTCCAAGCAATACTTTTTCTTATAAGAATGTCGTGTTACCAAAAGTATTGAACGATACAGGGCTGATATAACAAATAACATGCAGGGTTGATTATTTGCTATTTTTTGGCCTAATGACATTAAAAACTATAGGCCTACTATTCCAGCCTTTCAAAATAAATAGAATTATCCTTACTACATCGTTTGGAAATATTCAAATATATTCTTGCATTTTTTCTGTTGTTTTTTTTTAATGTAAAACCTTTCTACAATGTCACCAATAATCGTTACATCCTCGATAATACGTAGGAGAAACCAACTAGCCTTCGGAAATTAAGACTTACTTGGAATGCTGCAACAGCAACTCATTTCCTCCGAAGACGTGATGCACGAAAGAAATAGTTACCTCTAAGGCTTCCATACCAAACTAAGACTTTCTGGGAAGCGTAGGAGTCAAACCAGTCTCCCATTTACTTACCTGTTCAGCAGGTTTTTGAAAAAACTCTAAGGCTCTTGTGACGAATTCATTGTATAAGAATTATACCTATTTTTACATTTATACAACTTAAAAAATGTGGAATTTATTCGCAATAAATTAATTGTGTAATTTTAGAGTGATGAGAGTTAGAAGAAAAGGTTGACCACGAGAATACAAAATTTTCGTTATTAAAATAATAAAAAGTAGAGAGTTGTAAATAATACGTAAATCTAAATAAAATATATTTCAGATTTTTAATAGATGTAAAAATATTGTTAAATACTATATCTATCTTAGTTAATGCCATCGATGCTAATGTATCATTATGTAAAATCATTTTGTTCAATCATATTTGCTTCAAAATGCTTAATGCAATTGTAATTTTCTGTGAAAAGACATTTTTTAATTTAACTAAAAATTCTATGATTTTGTATTTTACATCAATACATTTAAAACTTTTTAAATATTATATGTCAGAGTTAATTCCTACATTAATAGCATCAATTGGCGCACAGATAATTAAATTGATACACATTGATCTCATATCTCTGTAGTAAATAAGTGTTATTGAATAGATGTGGATTTTAAGCAGAAACATATTTCAGTACATATCATTTTTTGATATCATAGAAATAATACAATTAATTTTTTAGGAAAAACCTCACAGTAATTATATTGTATACACGCGCTGTGTCTGGTGGATTTAAAGGCTATAGCGTTCGTTGTTTCTCTTTCTAGACGAGTTGACAAAGGTTGGCTCCTTTGATTTATTCAGAAAGTTAAAGAAAATTAAAATAATTTTATGACACTGAAAAATATTTATTTCATCCACAAGTTTCGTTTAAATAAAATTCAATTTAGCTCATTCACACTAATTGGTCAGGCTGATGATTTATATCTGAAAGTAATTAAATTGTTTACGTTCCTGTAATGGAAGATGTTAAGACAATGTTCAACCATTACGAATAATACAATGCTTCATAAAATATGTAACATTAAATAAAAATAGGTAAAATTAGACATTAAATTTTTACATACATAATCCTGAAACGTAGAGAATCCAATTTCTCTTCAAAAGAAAGCTTTGCACCGTTACTTTAAACTTTCATACCTCTAAAAAAAATTAAAATATAGTGGAAAATAACGACTGTAATTAAACTCCCATTACATTTCATCCAATACTGCAAAAACAGCATTAACACACTCACTTATCAGTGAGCAGCGAAATTCCGATGACCAAAACCCGGATTTAGGGGGAGTGTCTCGGTGATCAGAAGTCCACTGCTCTGCATTTTGCCGCCGCGTGGCTGGCGACATTTCGGTGCTTCCGCAAGCGTGCACGTGCAATCGGGGCGCGGCGGTGCACGGCGCGGCGCGGCAGGGGCCTGCGCGCCCGGCAGCGAGCGGCGCGGTGCGCGGACAGGTTTGCCAGACGGCGGCGGCGGCGGCGGCGCGCAGCGGATCGCGAGAGCGGGAGGGCGGAGAAGGGGGCCGGCGCGGCAGCGGAGGAGGAGGAGGAGGTGGGAGAGACGGGAAGAGGAGAGGAGATCGCAGCCGCCGCCGTCGCGAGTCAGCGTGACGTCATTTTGGCGAACGCGCGCCTCCATAGCGGGCGCGGGCGCAGTCACGTCCACCAGCGCCCGACGCAAGGTCGCGACCCTGACCTCGGCCCGCGGCCTCGCGACCTCCGCGTGCATCTGGACGCAGCCGCAGCCGCTGGTGCGGGCGGGCGGACGCGCAGGGAGCGGGGGCGGGCGCGGCTTCCGTCTCGGCTGCTGTGCTGCTGATGCTGCTTCCGCCGTCGGAGGACAGACCTCCACGAGGCGACCACCTCCACGAGGCGACCGCTACCACCGCGGCCTTGTCCACGAGGTAATCGATCCGAGATGGCAAATATTTGCGCTCCGTCTGTGGCGTATCTTCTTCCGCGCCGTGACTAACGCGTGCCGGCGCGGCGCGGCGGCGTGTGGCGGCGCGAGCGTTACCCCCGCGGCCGTCCCGCCTGCCTCGGGCAGTGTTACCCTCGCGCCGGCCTGCCCTGCGCCATCCGGCTACGCTCCACTACGCGGGTGCCGTCACACTGGTTTTCGAGGAGGACGATAGTAAAACAGATTTCTCCATGGTTTTGCCACGAGTCTACTGGGTTGCTTTTTTTGTGTGACTGACTTCACAATTTAGCTGAATACATTCATGCGGTAGGGACCGGATGCTGTCACAAGATGTGAAAGTACTGGAATGACTGTTTGTGTGTTCTAATAAAGTATAGTAGACCGACCATCAAGTGTATGATTCATCTTTTAGACCCAAATACATTGTGTATTGGATGTGTTACATTCTTACTTTGGATGTACACAAACTAGTTCCGGATGATTCGACAGTGCAGGTTACCTTTCAGGCCACGTGCTTGCTGTACGCTCATGCGTAATTCAGATATAATAGAGATCTTGCGTACTTTCCCCGACGACTACGAAGTAAGAGTGGTTTCCTTTCAGCGTTTGTGATGTATTCATATCTGTTGCTTTTCATTCCAGCTTATTGTATATTTGCTACCTCGAAACATATTGTGGAGCGACCTCTGACGGCGGACGATTTTCCACTGTGGTTCTACTTCTTATGCGGAAGTAGTAAACCAGCACGAACATTTTGGAGTGTCGAACACAGCTTAGTCAAATGTTAAGAAGTAAATGATACATTCTCATAGAAGCTGTATTTTCAACTCACGTCGAAATAGTAGGAAAATTCATTTGATCCTCAAAGAGATTGATGTCTTTGATATCTTTCTTTGCTTTCCTATGGCATTCTACAGCACTTTCAATTGCAAAATAGCCAAATATCTATTGAAAATTATTAATTTGTTGCAGCAATTTTGTAGAGATCTTATTCTTTTAGATCCTTGTAATTATCTCTTTTTCAAGCGTACAAAAGTCTCAACAACATAGTGAAGTCACAGTAACCAGGGTAAACTTCTCAAAATCTAAATGTGTATTCCTTTCGAAAAACCCATTGTAGAACCCGATTTACAATCGTATTTACGTCGTACCTTGCCGAAATTTTGTGTATAGTAATTACTTCACTGTATTTCAACGAGTTAATTTATTATTGAGTGATTCATGCCTTCTAGTCTCAAAAAAGGTTATTGTGTTTTGAATTTTTACGATAATCCGAAAAGTACCAAAAATATATGAAAATTAATCCTTACAGTAACATTTCCAAGAGGATATGTTGATAGAAAGAATGTGGCCTTTAATGATCTTCGTATTTAAAAATTCTCGTTTCTTTTTTACTAGACAATATTGTAAAAGCTTTGAGGAAACATAACATACGTGACTCGATGACTTGCATACTACGCGGTCAGCGCACTCTACTAGTGAAGTGGAAGTGCAGTCCGAAACCTTTGCTTGCAGTGGTTCAAAACCTATGTGCATTTGCCTAAGGTATTGGAATCATTTAATAATGTGATGATCGAACGATTCTTTTCAATTTCTGATTAAGTTGGAGGGCATGTCGGAAGGATTAATTTTACAGACATTTATAATGTACAATATTTCATTTAAATAAAATATCATAGGGATTGTTACATGTGGGGAATAATAATTCTTGCGACTTTTTAATACACTAATAATTACGTAGTTTTATACCAATTGCTACAATGAATTTTATGTCATTAATCATTCGTTGATGAGTCAATTTGGCTTTTCTATTTGTTGTCATCTTGCATTTTCTCATTTTAATAGAAGGAAAAAAATAGCATGCGATTTCAATTTAAACACTATTGCAGAAATACAATATTAGCTTTTCGAAACTCTATTTACTCACAGATGATGTGTTTTACTGTTACAAATGGACTTGCTTCTTTGAAACAACAGTTCTTAGCATTACACTGTCCAGTTTCCTTTAAATGAACTTGACGAAGATACTTCATATAGGAAAGACACAATTCACAGAGAGATCTGTTTATTTGTCGGTGAACGCAATGTTAGTGAAATTTTCTTACAGATCAAAAGATATATTCGAATAGCTGCTGAACAAAAAATAGGGAGAATCTCTTGAATTATTAATTTTCAAGTAGTGTGAATTTCAGATTCACTTTAGATACTTTAAATTGAGTCGTTAATGGGTATTTACCACCTACAGTATAGCATAATTTTGATCATTCATAGTACATTAAAGACTATGTATTGTATCGAACATTGTGTTAATTCAGAAATAGAATAAATAGTGGCGGCAGTAATAGAAACAACATTCATTTCAGTTTATATGTAGCATGTTAATTGACTGATACGCGTTTTTTAGTTTATTTCTAATTAATTTAGTTTATTTCTAATTAATTTAGTTTATTTCTAATTAATTTAGTTTATTTCTAATTAATATCATTTGGAGCCTCAAAGTAAGCGCTTGGAGTCGTTCACAAATCAGGACATGATTTTGCCATTTCTTACCTCCTTATTCGTATATTTCGGAGCCAGTCAGGTTGCGTTGCCAGACCTGGTCACACAGTGCAGGCATACCAAAGTTCTTTTCCGCATGATCAGGTCTCCTCTTTCTATACTTTTTTGTTCTGTAAAATGTTCGCAGACTATCTTTTTCCATTTATACTGCCTTCTTTCCACTGACCTCGCAAGTGTTTTTGTGTGTCTGTTTGTCTTGGTCTCTCATTGGATTCTTTTTTTTGACGCATTTTCTTCTCTCTCTCTCTCTCTCTCTCTCTCTCTCTCTCTCTCTCCTTCTCCCTCTCCCTCTCCCTCTCTCTCCCTCTCTCTCCCTC